GTACTTGAATCTTCTTGAAAATTTCTTCTACAGTATACTGCCTCCAATTCTGTTCTTTGGAAAGTGCAAAAACACAAATAGAGTACTATCAAGTAGGTGATTTTCATTCAACCTAGAATAATTCCAAATTGGGATTAAAGGTCAACTGGAAAGTTTATTTTAGTTTTCATTTCAAGACCTGAATCATGATTAATCCAAAAGATGAAAAAATTCTACCTATGGTGAGGACTCTGCCAAAGGAAGACAAACAAAAGTCGGTGTGTGCCCTGAAGTATTATATACTTGTAAAATTATTATTATTATTTTTTGTAGAGACAGGGTCTCACTATATTGCCCAGACTGCTCTCAAGCAATCTTCTTGCCTCAGTTTCCCAAGGTGCTAGGAGTACAGATGTAAGCTGCCATGCCTAGCCATTAAAATTAAACAGATTAACCAGAGGCATGAAGTTTAAAGAAGAGAAGAAAACAAAGTGAAATAATAGGAGTGGTTGTAATGAATGCTGGCCTTGGACTGATTCTAAAGATGATGCCCTTCTGTTGTAAAACTCAAGTAATGAAAGCTTAGGAGAAAATACAAAGGGCCAATAAATATGTGAAAAGATGGTAGGTCTCACCAGTGGTCAGAAAAATAAAAATTAAATTGCAATTTAATCAAAAAGAATAAGAAAAAGTAAAAAGATGATCACACAAGCCTGGCGAAGATGTGGGGAAAAACACAATCTGATGTACATTTGGGAACTGTGTTGCTTCCAGAAAGAATCTGAACAACAGGAACGTGTAGGGTGCAAAAGATTCTGGGAGAGGAAGTCGTTGGGAAACATCTGTCATCAACTGTCATTGCCATTTAGATAGCTGAGCCAGTATATTTAGGTCCTTGTGTAGTGAGCATGGACATTTTCTAAATCAGCACCTGAGAAGCTCAGCACTTGGGCTACTTTCCCTGTGTTTTGCCTCCTGCTCACATCCAGAGTCCACTCCAGCAGCAGATCTCAGGGTTATCCAACTGGAAAAAGCAATGCTTACTCAGCCGGGTCTATCTGGAAATCCTCATCATCTTGCAAGTCAACAAGCCCTACCCTCCTGGATAGCAGACTTCCCACCAGCTTGGTTGCTGCCTACTGTTTACTGAGGGCATAGTACTAGGTATAGCATTTCACTTGCTCATATTGTCATTTTGTCCTCCAACAATCCTACAAAATAATAATTGTTTACATCCTTATTTTATATACGAGAAAACTGAGGTCCAGAAAGTTTAAATGTCTCTCCTAAGGACACCCAGCATGTAATTAGCAATAAAGATCCTCATTTTTCTGGTTTAGGAGTCTTACCCAGATGTAAATGAGTAGTTTGGGGAATTAAGGCGTATTTACTTTTCTACCACTTTCCTCCTTAGGGGGACATTGTATCTGAACAGATTCTTGTGGAACTGGCTAGTGGGTGGGAGGCTAGCCCAGGTCTAGTGACACCTGCACCTGAGCCTGCGTCCCCAGCTGGCATCCTCTTATCCCTGAGGCACTGCATCCTTCCCTGCCAGGGTCACTGCCAGCCGCTTCTGCATGTTGGTGTCTGTGCCACCTCCACTGCCACTGCTGCCACCTGCTGGAGTCTGGCCTCTCTGCCCAAGTTGGTGTTGGGGGCCATACCAAGGCCCTTCTAGTGCTCTAACTTTGATGCATTATACCCTCTGCTTCTTCTGGGAAAATGGTCACAATTTCAACATGTTCACCCCACTTTACTCTCTTAAATTTGGGCCCTTAGGGCTGCCATCTCTCAGTTCCCTGTGTCCCATGGAGAAGAAGAGAGAAGCTTTCCTCCTCCTATGGCAGAGTTTATGCTGTCCTTTCTCTCATAGACTTGCCGGGACAGGCAATACAATAGTTCATGGATACAGGAGAGACTTTGACCCCACCAAGATTCCCAGTCTCTTGATATGGATGTGGCACAGTGCACCTAGGCTTATGGTGCTTGGCCCAGGCATTCACCAATCAAACTTCAGGAGAATCTTTCATGAACATGAATCAACGGTGAAAAATATCAAGGTTGATACTAGCCCACCCCTAACTTTGAACAAAGAATCAGGGCACTTGGTATCATGAAGAATTGCTTCAAGGAGATTAACCAAGAAAATCAGAACTTCAGGACTTCCCACGCCTGAGCCCCGGCCAGGTAACTGGGATGGGGGTAGGAGACCATCCGCAGGAGCCCTGTGACATTATTGGGGCATCCCCTGTCCAGAATGGGCTCCTAGGAGGCAGAAAGGAACAGGTCTTGGGGAGAAGGTGCCACAAAGGGAAGGCTGCGGGCCCCGGAAGCAGAGGAAGCAAAGCCCTCGTGTGTTTGCAGGAGGTGGAGGAAAGCAAGTTCACCTGGATGAGAGGCAGAGACTGAGAAATAAAAAAAAAAAAAGGTTGGAGGTAAAAGAAAAGGAACATGCTCTAACAGGAGAGATTTATTTTTTCTTTTAAACATTTTACAGAAAAGATAGAAAAGTGGGGAGGAGGGAGAACAGAGAAGTGAGGCCGATGGGTCCCTTGTGGGAAGGGGCCCCCTCCGAGGAGATGGGCACCCAGGGACCCTGTGAGGAGGCTCGACGCCTCCACTCTGGGGCCTGGGATGACGGTCATCATGGGCAAGGCAGGTTGAGAGGCACGTTTGCTGATGCTTTTCCATGACTTCACCTTATCTTGAGCACCAGGTCAGAGGGCTGTTCCAAGGGAGCCGGGGAACGCCTAGAAGTCTGTACTTTCCCTTAGGCACCCACTTTTCTTCCCATTAAGCAACTTGCACCGCTAGGCTAAGGTGTCTTCAACACAAAGATTACCTCAAGGTTAATTATTTAATTCTACAAACAAGAAAATTACCGTAGTAAAGGGAAATGTGAATAATCTATCTGAGAAAACAGCTCTTGACTTTAAAAAGAGAAAATGGAAAACACCAAGTCTTACTTCAGCTATAAAAATGGCCCTTTTTTGATAAAATTTTGTATTTTGAAAAAGAAATAAATAAAATGGTCTTTGTAGACTCTTGTGGCCAAGCAGAAAGGGCACTGGACCAGGAGCAAAGCATTTACCTTCTGGCAATGGACCTGTCACACACCTGCTGGGTGACTGTGTGTGAGCTGTTTACTCTCTGGTCTTGTGAACTCCTCTGTAAAATGATGAAAGGATATTGAAGTTCCCCTCTGGATTTAACTTTCTATTTGTGTTATAAGTTTTTAAATTAAAAATTGTACAATGCTAATGGCATCATTATTAGAATATCTAGAAAGTATTTCCCAACATTGACAACAAAATGAAGTGGCTGTAAGATTGTGTTTGTCATAATACATGTTAATTCACTTGCATTCTTTTGAAAGCCACTGTCACTTTCCATCACTCCTTTGATCATGCACTGTATTCACTCTTTCTCCTGGTAACTTTTTCCTTCCACAAATAGCATTAAAGCTGCTTCTTACTAGAATCTTTTTAAAAGGGGCAAAATATTTTCTCCACAAAAATCCAACTAGGATCGACTATTTTGGGTAAAGCAATGACAAAACAAATTTTAAGATTCAGTTTAGAGCAACAGTTTCCACCCCCTCTGCACATAATCATATAGTCACCCTCGTGCATTTTACTTTCCTTTGCATAGGTCTCCATGACCTCAGGCCTTAGCCCGCTAAGTAATTTTCCTCCCATCAAGCCCATTTCTACCAATGCTGCATGCACAGCATTACACACTTTTTCTTTTCTAAAACACTGCTTCCACCCTTCACCATCTGTATTTATGCAGAATAAAGTCCAATACCTTGATGAACCCTCAGACCTTTCTTTCCACACTGGTCTGTGTCTCTCTGAGCAGCTTGAGCAACCTGCACTCCCTTACACAGCTTGTTTCAGCCTCTCAGAAGATTCCCTGTTCTAGGCACATTCCAGACCCTCCTCACTTACTTGAAATATCTCCCCCACCCCGCCCCCCGTTCACTCTGTCAATCAAACCCTAGTCATCTTTCCAAACTCAGCGGAGACCCCCACTCCCCTCTGTATAGGAGCTTTCCCTGAACTCTGCATCTTGAAGGGTGCTATCTCTGCTTTGTAAGGTCCACAGCCTGAAGCGGCAAAAGAAATGATCAAATTAGACTCAGTGATTTTTCCCAATGGGGCTTGGATTTCCTTAGCAGGGTGAGTCCATTTTTAGTCGGCATGAGCATAAGGTCTGCCTAAAACATGGTCAGATGAGACAGGAGTCAGAGTACAAAAGGAGGTCCCTGCCCAGTCTCTGCGGTACAGGGCTGGGGAAGCCTAGGGCAAGCCGGCTTCCTGGGAGTTGGAGAACGTGAGGAAGGGGCAGAGGCTGTGGGGCCTGGGATTGAAGGCAGGAATTCAGATTGCACCAGTGGAGGCTGCTGTGGGTGGCTTCACCTTCACTCACCAAGTGTGGTCATCTGGGTCCCAACTCTTGTGGCTTTCTACCTTCTACCACCTCCACCCTCCAAAAAATCTTTTTAGAGTAATTAGAAGAAGTTTGGTGAAAGTTGAATTCCCTAAGGCCCTAAAGGTATGGCTACTTGGGTTTTTTCCATCTAGGGTACAACATAATTTACTCTTAATCCTTGTTCTAATAGGCAAAAGGGAGCTTTTTGACACTCTGCAAGTGGTTGTTTGGCTGAGGCTTGATACCCACAGCATTCAGGTGACTTGCCTGGGTGATAATGAAAATGATAATATAATTAACACATTGCAGAGCTCTTACCATCTGGTAGACACTGTTGTAAGTACTGTCACTCATTCATGTTTTTAAAGCTCATAAACCTTCAATATAATGTTTACCATTATCATTCCAGTTATATAATTGAGAAAACTTTTAGTGTCAAAAGATTAGCTGCTTTGCCCCAAGTCACACAGCTACTAAGTGTTAGAGTACAGCCCAATAACTAAGGTTTTCACTTTCTTTTGTTTCAACTTAGAGGAAGAGCTTTCGCCAAACCTTTTCTACCATGAAGCCAGGGGAGAGAAACTCACATATTTATAGGAGGCAGAGTCTTCAACACTCCCCTGACTTTTCCTCTTACGGCATCCTCTGGGATCTTAGGGCCTCTCATTACCTGAAATGCGAAAATGGCATGTTTAATTATTCATTTTCCATTACTCTTAATGAGGGGATGAACTGTCTAGTGAAACAAAAGGAAATAGTCTGACCTTCAGGCTGCATGGAAGTGATAATCACTAAAACCTCCACTCAGTTTAAGCAGACAAGTGAAAGGATTTTACTGATCTGGATGCAAAGGGGCCATCGGGGTCACTAACTGAAGTCACATAATGGAGCAATGACAATGAGAAAATAAACATGTGCTAAAAATAATATTTCCTTAATTATGTGCACAGGTGCTCTACAGGAGTTTTCAAAGCTCCTTTAACTTACCTGATGTCTTAGGGCTTTGAGCTTGGGTGGAGAAAGGGTAACAGGGCTGTGGCTTGCCGGGAGGACAGAGGAGGAGAGTCTGTGGGCATGGGGCAGGAGTCAGTTCTGTCTCAGGTATGGAAGAGCATGAGGAAAGTAGAGGCTAATATAGAGATCTATTAATCACAACCTCAAGAACAACTGGTTCATTTTTCATTACTTGGTTGATTGGTTTGACCAAACGCTGCTGTGGGAATGATTCATGAACTATTCTGCTGCACGGCATGTAAACACAGCCTTCTGATCTAGACCTTTGCTATTAAAATGGTCATAAATAGCTGTGAATTACTACTGTTGTGCAACTCGTGACTTCATCATGGCTTCTGGCAGAGCAGATGGGAGCCACATCCCAGGCCCTGCTGCAGTGCCCGTCTTTCCCGTAATATTTAATGAGCACAGGGTGGTTGGTGCTGCACAGATGACAAAATGGCATCCTCCTTGCCCTATTCTCTTCCAAGATAAGACATTTTTAAAAGGCCATAAAGCCTTGAAAGTCTCCCCACACAGATACTGCGTGACCTATAAATATGCATCTGCTCAAAATATGGCAAAATGCGTCACTATTAATAACTCCAAAGAGTCATGGGGATTCAGACAGTCCAATTCCTCTGCCAAAAGTTCAGAATGTTTGCTTAGTGCTTGATTTGCATCAGTACATTTTCTATTTAGATACTCCACCGAGTATGTGTCAAACTTTATCTGTGCCCTTACTAGGACATAAGAGAGCATACAAGACAGGAGTGGAAGGCCTTTAACGTTATTGGGGTTTTAAAAACTGTGCTTGCTTCACAAATATTTTCCATTTCTCTCTACCATAGCAACCATTACCTTCACCATATACACAAAAATGGCTAAAGGGAAAGTGAGGAAACTCTTCTAAGTTACTTATACCGATAATTATATTGTATTATTACCTATTTCTTGAACAATAACTATTTTCAGGCATGGTGCTCCTGTATGTCATTGCTAAGCCTCAATGTTAAGTTAATAATCAATCCTATGCACTAGGTGTTGCTACCATTTCACACACCAAGACTCAGCAGTTAAGTGACTGGCCCATTGGACACACAAGTGACTCTCAGGACTGTAACCCAAACCCAAGGAAGGCTCTTTAGCTTGTGCCATATGAAACCACCAGTAGTCAATCATCCTGACCAAAAATGGCAATTTTATGGTTCAACCTAATACCAAAATGTGTTGCCCTGGAAGGAAATCTAGACTCTCCTGATGTCACAAAGACTCTTTGTAGACTGCCACCATGTTGCAGGGAAAACTGTAGATACAGTGCTGGGGGTAGAGGGATAGCAGAATGGGAATGTAGTTTATTATCTTTGCAGCAATTATTGTTATTATTACAAGTAAAGACATGATGTGAAACTGCAAAAAAGTGGCAAAGCCTGTCAATATATCTACATTTTTGGATACATGCTATCTGAAATATATTTACATTTTTAATATACTTCCTTTTTGGGATACATTCTATCTGAAAGTTTCCACATGTAATCATGCTCACCAGACTTTTCTAAGCATTGAAATGACTTCTAGTATTTAAAAGCTAATGATGTTAAAATATAATTTTGCGAGGCCATGTGTTTTAATGAACAAGTAGTTGATGAGTCTATAACATGGATGTATTAAAAGGATAATTTGGTAAGAGCAATTTAGTTTCTTGGGAACTACTTGGGAGTCAATAGATAGAAGCTATTGTTTAGGACAAATGATTTTTCGAGTTCTCTCTTAGAAATAATACATAATAAATTCAAATCTTCCTCTTTTTTTTTTTTTTTTGAGATGGAGTTTCGCTCTTGTTGCCCAAGCGGGAATGCAATGGCGCCATCTCGGCTCACTGCAACCTCCGCCTCCTGGGTCTAAACGATTCTCCTGCCTCAGCCTCCCGAGTAGCTGGGATTACAGGCATGCACTGCCACGCCCAGCTAATTTTGTATTTTTAGGAGAGACGAGGTTTCTCCATGTTGATCAGGCTGGCCTCGAACTCCCAGCCTCAACTTATCTGCCTGTCTCGGCCTCCCAAAGTGCTGGGATTACAGGCGTGAGCCACCATGCCCAGACCAAATCTTCCTTTTAATTCAGTTTTTTCCATGTGATCCATATTATAGTTTTCCCTATATAATCTCCACATCGTCAGAATGGGAAAGGGGGCTCATGATAATAATTGTATGTAATATAGAATGGTTACTGAACAGTGGGTTGTTAAGTACATAAAAATTGGGGAGACTTTGTGCTACAAGTTTTGGGGCAAAAGATAAACAATAGGAAAAGGCTCAGTCATTGAGTCTTAGAATGAGATTTCAGGCACTGAAGGAATCTCATTTTACTGAAAAAGAAACTAATGAACAAGAAAGCCCAATAAGTGCCACCTTCAGTCACTGGTGGTATCACAGTGACTAGCATTTAGTTCTCTTGACTCCTGGACCAGTGCTCCTACCCACCCCCCAGCCCCACCCCAAACCATAGGTTGGTTCCAAGTAAAAATGTCTTCTCCTTGAAACCATCTGGTACAGATAATAATAATAAAAGATGTGCCTAACAAATAATTATATTACAATACCAAGCATTCTAGGTGATATATTTAAGATGGAATGGAATAAAATAGATTCTTCATATTTGAAACAAGATGATCAAATAACTTTTTTTTTTTCTTTTTTTGAGATGGATCTCACTCTGTCACCCAGGCTAGAGTGCAGTGGCACGATCTTGGCTCACTGTAACCTCCACCTCCCAGGTTCAAGCGATTCTCCTGCCTCAACTTCCTGAATAGCTGGGATTATAAGGCACGTGCCACCAATCCCGGCTAATTTTTTTTATTTTTAGTAGACACAGGGTTTCACCATGCTGGCCAGGCTGGTCTCAAAATCCTGACTTCAGATGATCTGCCCACCTCGGCCTCCCAAAGTACTGGGATGACAAGCGTGAGCCACCATGCCTGGCCAATCAAATAACTTTTAAAGTCAACTTTTAAAGGCCAAGTGAAGAAGACATAGACTTATTACCACAATCCAATCTGATCGGTCTTTCTTAGGGCCAGAAACTATGAAAATATTTCTTTTCTATACTACTTTTTCTAGACTTTATGTTTACCTCCTGTATGGAAGACATCAGATTTGAGACACTTAAGAGTACACTTGATTTCAGTTTCTGACTCAATATTTTGAATGGAAATCTGAACCAACACAATGTTAATGATAGCTTTACTATATTACCTGTGAACCAAGCAAAATAAGTGAAAGGGAGAAGAAGTGCTTTAAATGCAAGAATTCCTAATATCTTTTTTAGTATAATGATAAGCACATATAAGAAAACAGAAGACAAGAATATTCATTGATGGATGGATGGATGATTCAGTTGGTTTCTACATTAGCAATGACTCATGCTGTAAAATTGGAATGTTTAGAAAATAAATCCTACAATTGTACCAGAAGAGACAAGAACATAATATGATAGAGATCCAAGCATGTCAAAAACATAATTTTCTTTTCTTTCTGTATATGTCTTTTGAGTGTTCTGAATACTACCCTTGCCTTTAATGATATAGGAAAAGGAAATAAAACGTTAATCACAGTCTGCCAGAAACTGTGGTCCTTTCTGAATCAAAATAAATTCTTCTAAAACAGTATTTATGAATAGTCCTAGATTCAAGAATTTCTATTATCCTCATTGGCCTTAAATAGAATCTGCGAGAATGACCCTTTTTCCAAGTAAGTGAACATTGCTCAGTGTAGCCACTTGGCGCCACTGAGTTTATACACCTGTACCTGCATTGATGCAAATGTGCTCTCTTCCTTCTGTGTCTTCATTGGAAAGTCAGCTTAATGACTGGCATGGAATGGATTGGAGCCTGAGAAATTGTGGGCTGATGCTGGAGGTGCCCAGATGGAATGGGAAGCAGGGCTAAACTAGAAAGTCCTTTTCAATTGCTGATACTGGCTTCTTTAATCAACACTTTATGAATATTATGGAGCCATCTCTAAGTCTGTTTTTCCTGGACTAAGGAAAAGCTAATAGTAATTTCCTGTCTTCCTCATGCTTTTCAGTTTTAGGAGATCTCATAGAAGTGCAAGGACACACGGAAGTGCAGAGGGAGTGGCAAAAAAAAAAAAGGAAGGTTTTTGAGGAGGTGTTATCTGAATATTAGGCCCACAAGTTCTCAAAATATTCATTCTGAGGGAGAAGGAATATCCATTAAAATTATATGTAGAACGTGTATCCATTCAAATGAATGCTGTCACTGCTAGTGTGAGAGCAGTGAGTATAACACCACAGTGGAGACAATCCCCGCTTTCAAGGCATTTACAATGGACAGAAGAACTTATGTAGCATCTGGTGTATGGAGTGTGAGAGCAAGGAAAAGCTTTATGTGTGACAGTAAGTAGCTCTCAAAAAGGGGATGGTAAGTGATCTGCTACTGAGGTAATAGCAGATGTTCCGGTGCTCCTCCTGAAATAGATTACGACTGATGCCCAAAATGGTATCGTGAATTGTTATCCCTTACTGTCTTATGTGGCCTTCTCACTGCTGTGCTCTTCTAAAGTGTTACTGGAAAAGTCAGCAAACTCAGTATTTGACAGTGTGAAAGTTTTTCAGATCCCATTCTTTCTTGATGGGAGAGAGAAGGGCCAAACTGAAGCACCTTGTTCCCAGGGGAGAAGGGGACGGGGAAGTTCATTGGTCAGAGATGATTGGTTGCTGGCAATCAAATCTCACTCAAATTAACTCAAATTAAAAACAGGAGTTAACTGGAAAGATTAAGCTAGCAATTTTGCAGACATCTACCAGTAGGAAACAAAGTCCAGCTAGACTTCCTAGCGACCAAAGCTGGGAAAGAGAGAGTCAGAAACTTAAGTCGATTGGTCTCTAGTCTCTGACTCTTTCTTTCTCTCCTTTGTTTTTTGATTCTTTCTCTTTTGACTCTCTTCGCTTTTAAAAAATATTATGGCCGGCTGTGGTGGCTGACGCCTGTAATCCCAGCACTTTGGGAGGCCGGGGTGGGTGGATCACGAGGTCAGGAAATCGAGACCATCCTGGCTAACATGGTGAAACCCTGTCTCTACTAAAAATACAAAAAAATTAGTCGGGCATGGTGGCAGGCCCCTGTAGTCCCAGCAACTGGGGAGGCTGAGGGAAGAGAATGATGTGAACCTGGGGGCGTGGAGCTTGCAGTGAGCTGAGATTGCGCCACTGTACTCCAGCCTGGGCGACAGAGCGAGCCTCCGTCTCAAAAATTAAAAAAAAAATTAAAAAATAAATTAAATAAATAAATAAATAAATAAAATTATTAATTTCCTGTGAGTGTTGCATACTCTTTGCTTTTTAAAAGCTGGTCTAATTTCCTTTGTCCACAGACTTTGGCTTCGTCTGTTTATTTAAAATCTTGCTCTTAAGTAGCTCTGGTTGTCCTTGACATTGGCTTGCATTGGCACCAACCTCAGCCCTGGCTGGATGGGAGCTCTCAGCTGCAGTCCACAGTCACTGACTGTGGTTTCTGTAGCTTGGCTCAGAATCATAAGAGAGAGTCTGATTGCTGTGGTCCACGAGTCTACCCCTGGTCTCACTGGGGTGGGCAAGGCAGACATCCGGTGGGGACACGGCCACTTAGGCCTGTCCTTTCCAGCAGTGACTGTGAATAGCAGGAATTCTCTGAGATGGGAGCTGGGGAGGCAGCATAAACTCCCCAAAGCATGTCAACTACTACCCAAAAGCAAATGCCTCCTGTTCACAGACTGGTATGGGGCAAGCCTTACTTGGAAATGGCAATACCTTATTTGCGATGGCATAAAACCAAGGATAGTCTTTGGAGCATGGATAACAATTTGGAGCATGGGTGACAATTTGGTTTCTGGTTTTTCTTCTACAAATTGCACAGAAAATAAACTGCTGCTCTAATGGTGGCACAGCCATCACAGGGAATCTTTGGGTGAACTGAGGAGACAATGCTAGGGATTAAGGTACTTTTCATTCATTCATCCGATTAACTGCAGCAAGCACCTACTCTGTGCTTTGTGCTAGAAGAGCAGAAGAGTCGTATATCCTCCAAAAGTTTACTGTGCCAATTGCTCTTTGTAGTTTGTGTTTGTTGGCTCTTCACTGAACCACAATTTAGATTTCACCACTGAGAAGTTCCCAAAATACTCTTGGAATCCATTGTACATAAAAATTTCTAAAAACAGAGTATTAACAAATTTAGATACACAAACAATGACAATTTCTGGCTCTGAAAACTAAGTTCAGTCCAGTGCCTGCAAACCAAAACTAAGCAGAAGGACTAAAATAAACAAAATATTATCAGCCCTGCCTTCCCTTCTTCCCTTAGGCGTGGCTTTAATGTGGGCTTCCAGTCATGAGGAAACTCCCTGTGTTTGCTCTAGGCAGATGTTTGTATGTGTTTTGATTCTTTAAAATCTAGGGATAAGGAGCTATAAGAAAAAGGAAGAGGGTGCTCATTTAAGAAGTTGTAATTAAATGTGTGTTTTGAGGGATGTATTTTCTACAGGTACATTTATCTTTGTAGACATAAGAGTTATTTTAGGTATTTCTAGTTGATACAGATAGCGAATCAAATTAAGCCTCAGGAGACTTCAGTTCAAGTCCTGACTCTGCCAATATAAATGTAAATGTGGGTAAATCCCTTGCTGCCCATGATCCTCTTTTTCTTTGCTTTTTTGCCTAATTTACCAAGTTATTAAGGGAATCAACTGAGGGGCTAAATGTCAGGGCTTTTTGAAAGTTGCAAAATGTCATTTAGTAAGTGTTTGAATTCGACTGGGTATATTCAGTACT